TGTGTATTTTTTCAAATACACTCCAATTTCTTTCGCACATGATATTTGACTTAAGAGTTGTATTGTTAATTTTTTAAGATTGGGAGCACTGTTTCTAAAATATTTCCACTACTTATCTATGAAGAAGACAAAAAGAAAAAAAGTATACAAGTGTTAAAATGTTAAATATCATAAAGAATTAAATAAAAGTGTTATAATCTTTTTTTTTTAAAGAAACTTAAAAAGTTGAAATCTTACTAGGTTTCATAGTTTTTGAGGATTTAAGAGTACTTTCACGGGCAGAGCTGTCCATTTTTTGTCATACAACTCACATTTATTCAAAAATTTAGACCTTCAAAATGGTACTTTTGCATCCACAACATGCGTAAAACTTTTCATGATTTTGTTTTGATTGAAAAATTCTCTTTATTATAGAAAAAATCTGGATTTTTGTGTTATAGAGCGGCGTATAGATTTTTTGGCAGTTTTTCTTCTCCCATTTTTTTTTGAATTCTTGTATAAGGCTTGTGCAAAAACTTCCTATTTATCAATATAGCCTTAATGGCCTTTCTAGTCTTACATATGCCATTATAGACATATCCAAATGAAGGCCTCTCATTACCATCAACAATTCTAAGTAAGTGAATAAGTGGTTCCACATTTTTCACAACAAGTTCACAATTATTCGAAAATTTCTTATCTAGAAAATAGCCACAACATATTTTGCCTTATGATCCTTGTTGTATCTAGACACTTTAAATTCCAAAACAGACACCAATTTTTGTAAGTTATGCTTATGCTCATGCTCATGAATGCTTTTCAAAGTAATGGATGTTGTTGCAAAACTTATTAGCCCAAGACGTCTGATTTATGTCCATCCTTCCCTTTTTTTGTAGCCAAGCCAACAAGAAAGGATGATTGCATATAAATTTGGATACGAAATATGCATGAGTTGCAAGATTACCAATAACCTCCAACTTCCCAATATCACTCAAAATCAAGTTCAAGTAATGTGCAGCATAAAGAGACCGAAAGATTGTAGGACATACGTCATTTAACAATCTCCCAACCTTTTATAATTGGTTGTATTCTCAGTCACTAAATGCATAACATTACTAGGACCCACAAACTCAACCAATTCCCTAAAAAAATTGCAAAGCATGGTAGCATCTTTAACTACATTAAAGGCACTAATAGATTTCACAAAGGTAATTCCTCTAGGACAATAGATAAGAAAATTAATTAATTACTTATTTTTTTATCTTGCCAACCATTACCCATAATAGTGCAACCAATTTCTATCCAAACATTTCTATAAGAGTTAACTACCAATTGTACCTCTTTTTTTAAAATCATGCAATAGATTGCATCTCATGATATGATAACTTGGTGTCTTATCACCAAGGCCAATCGCAATAATAGTATCAAGCATAGGCTGAACGTAAGGAGAGTTGCTAGCATTTATGGGCAAACAACTATTAAAAAAGTCTTAGCAATAGCCAAATCAGCATTATGGACAACATCTTTATTTGCCAATGCACTTCTAACTAATGGTTGAGCTCCAGGAGTGGTTCTTTGGGTGAATTAATTTTGTATCCCACTTGCCTTCCTTTTTCTACCCTTATTTGTTGAAATTTCTAATCCCTTCCCCTTAACTTGAGATTGTGGAGCCAAAGAAGGATTTGGGATCTCTGCAAGTCCTGTGCATCTCTATTAGAATTTCCAAATGGATTATCTTCTTATATATTTTGTGCTTGCTTCCTACTTTCTTCAAACATCAAATGGCACCTTGTCACACTTTTTGACATCTCCTCCCTTTCCCACAAGATGTTGTTTCATTCTATTAATGCCTCATCTGAATGTCTTTTGGTAGTGCAAACATTTAATTAATTTTTTTGTACCTTTTATAATTTCAACACAATACTCTCATGTTGCATTTGTTTTAGCTCTTAAAGATTGGAAAGATGTAGCAATTGAATTTTGTATAGAGGATGTCACATTTTTTGCGATTCTACAATAAAATAAAAGAAAATCATTAAGGCAGTTCAAAACAAAATAGAAGCAAATTTTGAATCACCATTCACTTAAAAGAATAATTTTTATAGTTGACAAGTTAGAATAAGACATGTACCAATTACCAAAACTCGTTTTTATAATCACCACTAAACGAAAACTACCAATTGGATTTTACAAAATATAAAGGAATTTAGCAATTGTTTACTTGTCATTAATGGCCAAAGAATTAATACCAAAGGCAAAATATGTATATCTAAATTCAATTATTCTACCCTGCATTCTAGAATATTCTCACTCCATGGATTTGATATAATTAGATAATTTCATACCTCAAGAGTCAAGACCTTTGCTATTGTTTCATATAGTTAGAATATAGGATGTAGGATCACTGGAATTAGAGTTAAAACACTGTTGAGAGTTGGAGGGAAGCAAGAACAGAAAATTTCAAACATTTAGTTCTAAAACAACCATTAAATTAAGAAATTTGATCATGAAAGAAAGAATAGAAGTAGAAGGAGAACTAACATTGCAAGAGCTAGACTAAAGAAGTGGAGAGGAAAAGTTGAAGCCTAGGAGATTTTTGCTGAAATTGTGGTTTTGCTAGCCTAAACAACACAAAGTTGAGCCGTTGAAGAGAAGAACCATTGCAGGCAACAAACTCCTCAAAAGGACCGTGAAGGCTAGTGGATGAAGGCATAGTGAAGGTGATGTGCTAAAAGCCAATCTCCCTTGTGGTAGCAAGAATCGATGAACAGAAGAGCTAGAGACTAGAGAAATGATGGAGAAGCAATGAAGGTCTATTTGCCCTGTGGTTTCTTCTTTGCCAATTTGTTTGAAGAAGCGATGAAGACTAGAGAAATGGAAAGGAAGAGTTAAATGGAGAAGTGATAAAAGCCGACCTACCCTATGGTTTCCTTGTCGCCAATTTCTCTGGAGAAGTGATGAAGATTAAGAATCCATGAAGACTAGAGAAGTGGAAAGGAAGATTTGAACTATCTAGTCAAATAAGGTTTCTAATTTTGCCAATTTCTCTTTAGATTTTGTTAATTTTACCATAAAATTGTAATGAGTAAAAGGGCAAAAAGGGTAACATAGCAAAAAACAAGGTACAAAATAGATAATTAGCAAAAAATGGTGGAAAAAAATGAACTTGCAAAAAGGAGAAATTGGTCCGACGGGTTTACTAGATCTACCAAGTGGGCCAGGTTACATGTTTTTGCCAGGTTCGAACTGTTCAATCATCCAAACTTATATAGGTGTCCACTTGGCCCGTTCTAGCTACCAAGTGGTTGTTTGACTAGTT